GAGTCGTCACTTTTGGGTTGAATCTGAGTCATTTTTGCCCTCCATTCTAATGAATCTGCGAATAAAAGTTGGGTTCCGAAGAATCTCTTACTTAATACTTGTTGAACTATGCGAATAAAAGGGGGGTTTCGAAGAATCTCCTGAGATAAGATTGATTTGAAGACTTTCATTTCATATGGAAGTACATGAAGGCTGATGCAGTCCACAAACGGCTGCGATACCACGTGAGTCAGCCGACGTCTTCTGGTGAGATTGACCTAGTAATCTCTTCATCATGTACTTACATACGAAATGAAAGTCTTCCCATCACTTGTTGAACTCACTTCCATTTCGAATAAAAGTGCTAGTTAAAGATATTTGAAGATCAATCCCACCAGAAGAAGACGGTGGATTCCTCTTTAACTGCTGTCGATTTGCTTTACTTGAACCTTCTTGTTGACACTGTTTCCGAGGCATACTCCTTCTTCCGTAGTATGGTGGACAGCACCAGAGCAGGGTATCATCCTCATAACCATATTCAAGCTAACGAGGCAAGAAAACTGATTGGCTCATCTCTAAATGTTGTATATATATCCTCTATCTAAGTCCTTTGAAGATGGTATAAAGTGGCTTGATTATTTTAAGTTATATGTCTACTTCGAATCATGTGTTTAAGTGTATGATCGTGCGTGTTTATGTGTTCGTATAGGTACGAAACTAGTGGTTATGACTCAAACTAATTAGAACAGAAAAATTAAGATGAGAGGTTCAGTCTATCTATGAGATAGGCGTTGAATACTCACTTATCCAGTTAGATCAATTGGTTTGTATCTGGTGTGCTGAAATCACCTTATACAACTCCAGCCGTTTTTTGCTAACTCCATACAAGGCAAAAAGAAAAATCGTCACATTTATTTAACCATTAGTAGGATGCTATTTCGACGTAGTAAAACTGTTTTTCATATTCTCAGCACAAGTATATTGCATTCCCAACGACATAAATCGCCATTATGTTTAATCAAAAGTGTAAATATCAAGATGGTGCCACCCTTTATGTTGTTGCGGTCCCTTTTCGTTGTATACAAGTGGCTTGGCCTCGTTTCATAACAAGGTCTCGTTGTCACAGGGACCTAGATGAACACAACTTGATCGCTCTGAAAACACAAACAAGTTGCGAAAACAAGGTCGAACTACTTCTGTGGTTCGTTCTAATCGTTTTGCCCAAAGCGCATTAATTAGCTGGCTCTGGTTCTTAACGAACATACTTGGACCATCTAGCTGACGGCCTTCCTTCCAAGCTTGCCCATGAATTCACATGCCTTTTGGTCTATAATCCTCTTTTCTTTTCCATAATTTAAATCGCAATCCAATTCAATTTACCCAATAGGACACTGTTAGGGCACAGCGAAGGTTCCTAGCCCTCTTCACTTTTTACCCGGGTGCAAGAAAGATCCAGATTGTCAAGCCTTCAGTCGTATGATTTAATTCCAGATACTCATTATAGGGACCTAAAACTCGTAAAGAGGCGGACGGTATTATCGATGCCCAGCTTTCTCAAATGTAATATTTTTGGACCATCACATTTTAAAGTTCCTACATGTATTACCAACAAAATAGGCTGATTTGTTGCACAATTATATCTAAGTTTAGTTTTAAATGAAGCAGTATAGCTGAAGAGTCGAGAAGCCACTTCTAAACTTTCCCCTTTGAGTTTGCTGTTGCTCAAGATGGCTCACTTAGACGACCATCTTTGAATCAATTTATTGAAGCTAGGCTGCATATTGCCTGACCTATTTTTCGAAACTTGGTCGTCCTGACAACACGACCAAGTTGTGACAAAGAGGTCTAACCACTTCCACACAGCGAAAATAAACTGCTTCTCCACTTATCCATATCTTTTCGTCCGAATAGTTTGCTTCTCGTTTACTCACTTCTTTTGCTTTACCTTGCCTGCTCGGCTGATTTTTTCCTCCAGAGGGCAACCAGTCGCGAATTCCTGTGGGTCAAGAGTGCGTGATCATGGTAAACACTTTGCAGGCAGGAGTTGGCCACGTCACGTGCCGCATCATCACGCCATCTGGCACATACGCGGATGTCGAGATTCAAGAAAATAGCAACGGCATGGTCAGCGTCTTCTACACCCCGCGTATCCGAGGTGACTATACAGTTGAAGTGCGCTTCGGTGGAGAACTGGTACCTAACGGCCGCTTTAATCAGAAAGTGAGTTCTTGCTTTCAAATTCACTCCCGAACTAGCTTATGAGTTTGATAGGCCTTTTGTGGTTTGCCGAAAGATACTGAATCTCGTATCTTGTCCGTCGTCGGGACAGACAATTCCTCGAATCGCTCATCTCCAATGCCATTGACAGGTTATTTTACACCGTACGAAGACAGGCTAGTTTGAATTAGCCTATGTGTTTTTAAAAACCCACCATATTTACCACTAATTTAT